AATTTCTGCCAAACTCCTCACCGCGTCTTTAACTCAAACCGTTTGCATTCTTTGTGATTGATACTTGTAGCAAAAGGCACACCTAAATCAGGAAAGCCTTCTGCATCATGGTTCTGCCTTTCCTCAAACAAAACCTTATGTCCAATTTAACAGCCTGCTCTGGGAGCTCCACACAAACCTAACACAGACAGCCTTTGTATGAAATGATAATTGCTGTTCCTTCCTGTTTTCAATATGTAGTTGCTGTGCATGCCTTGGTTGCTGTGAGTCGCTTGATTTGGACTACTTTGGGAACCTGTCATCCTGCACCTGAGCAATTACATTGATTTTTGGGGAGTATGAAAGTAAATTTAATCTGAACAAAACTTACTCTTTGGTGATGAAATCTTTGCCAACTTTAACAGGGTAAAATTCTGCCAGCATGTAACTTTTTATTGGGCTGTAGTGAAATAATTTGGAGAAAGATTTCCAGTTCATAAACCAACTCCAAAATGTCAGTTGACATATATGGGCCATTATAATTTTTCTCTTTGCAAGTTCCAATTGTTCTGCAGATTCCTCGCAACAAGAACAAGAAGATAAAGTTTGCAGTGAAGAGCTGGACCTTGTGAGGAGATATCTGAAAATGCTAAATCTCATTCAGATCAACATTTCTAAACCCATGACTTCCACTGAAAGAGAGCTATGTACTTCTGAGAGAGGAAGTTGGCAAACTCTTACGAGCAAAATAATGTTCATTTCCCAGTTCAGATTTTTTTTTTTCTGCTGTGACCTTTGCTAGATCTTAAGTTGTCAGAAGTAGAACATATTTTCTAATTAATCTGAACTGAAAACGTTTATCATGCTCTGTAAATCATAATGCAATTCTGCCCATCTCTATCCTTTTTCATTGGTGCTCTGGTTATGTGGGTATGACTGAAAGTTGCTAGTCTGATCTGGAAGTGACTTGGAAAAATGACATCCACTTGTTACTGCAAATCTGACTTACAGACCAACTGGAGGGTACAAGATTAGTGAAATATGTCGTCTGTAGGTGAAACCAAAGTTGAGCAACTAAGGGCTCCTCACGAAAGAAAGCCTATCTATCTTCCCTATTGCTGAACATAGAAGCTGAACTGCACAGGCATGAAGATAAATCAGAACTGATTGCAGAGATGAGAATTCATACTGCCTGATGGAACTTAGGTATCTTCTTAAAATACCGGGCTTTTGGTTCATTCTGCTGAAGAAATAAAACCCAGCCCAATATTGGAGCAATGTATTGCCAAGGCCAGGGTTGAGAGCCGAGATCTTTCTGTGTTCTTTGATGTTTGAAAACCAAGGTGGTGATAACAAAACCAGCCAACAATGTAAAAATGGGGAGATTGAGGGTGTGCTGAAGCCCAAATGAAAACACATGGAAGACAATGTCTCTGTCCACAGCTCACCTGCATTCCCCATACCTCTTCCTGTCTGCAGGGCAGACCTAATATGATTAGATCAGAGCATCCCCCACTTCACAAAATATGCTTACTGAAAGACACTTGTTTCCAGTTTGGATTTTTTTTCTAATGTTGTGGTTTTGAGACTGCCTTGGAATATTTTATATAACATCAGCTACTGTGCAGATTTGGGTATTGTACTGTAATTACTTAAATAGGGGATTTTGTATGCTATAGCCAGTGATTCATGAACTGCAGGGTATCTGCAAAAACAGGCTTTCATTGGGATTATGGGATGTAAAATGCCTGAAGGTTTTTGCCTTTGATAGCAGACCTGCCATTGCATCCACACAGGGTTTGTCTAATAAATTGTATTAGTGCTTTCCAGTACCCTGATAACTTCCCTCCCCCCAACTCCTTGTTATTCTAAAGTGTTTCAAAGGAAAACTGGTTCTCTGTGAATTATTGCTGAGGCAATCATTAAAGTGTGTGTTCAGGATGCTTGTGGTGGCCGTGCTGTATAACAGAGAAGAAAGTTGAAAAGGTTCTTCAAGGAGATGTAATCACTTGTCCTCCATCAGTTTAGAGTTGTGTAGCTAAATCCCCTACCTGATTTTGGAAACAATCTCAGCCACTGAAGAAACTGGAGCTACTGTTTCATTTAAGGTATTGTTTAGCTTGGCACATCTAATTATTTCAAGCCCATGAAAAGGAGGAGGACATGCTGAAGAAAGTATGTTCACGCCTGTGTATCCAAACAATGTGTTAGACTAGGAATCCTTGCAGACACAGTTAAGTCTAAAGCTTTTTTTCCTCCTGTAAGATCCAGTATGAACTGGGCAAAGGGAATCAAATATATGATAATGTCTTGCTGCCTGATAGAAAACCCTAAGTTGTCCAGGGGATAGCAGGTTTCTGGTGGAACTTCCTTGCTGACTTTTCTGTCAGCCCATTTCTAAATGCAGGTTTCCTGCTGTAAAGAAAGAAGCAGAGTTGTTTTGTAGTTGCTTGTATTTTAATTATAGCAGGCACAGCATTTCAGACATGCCAATGCTTGTTTTTATGTTGGGATCCACATGGCTGCATTTTCTTTCCAGGGGTTGGGAAAGATCATTTTCTTAGTCATATTTCTCTCAGATGCAGAGCTGTGCTGATAAAAAAACAAAACAAAATTTACTGCTACTAACTCCCTTCTGAACTCACCACAGCACAGGGAAGGAAGTTCAGTAGATATCAGATACAAGTCAGGGTAAGTAAAATTCCAGTGCATGTTTGATGCCCATGAGATTCTTCAATTACTTTTATTCCCATGCATAAGGGTCATATCAGCCATTAGCAGCAAGAAAATCCAAGGCCTTCCAACCTCCACGCTTTTGTCTGTGCCTGTTTCTAGCTGCCTAGCGTGCAGCAGGTTTCTTGCTCTTTTAAAAAAAACTCACTGAAAATACGAGGGCAGCAAGACTTGTACAGCTGTGTATGTACTGTGCATATACAGAAAGAGCTGTACGTTCTTGGCTGAAATCCTCTGTTTAGCAGAGGTTCTTTGGGGTTAGGGGTTTGTAAAGGTTTGGGTTTGGTTTTTGAAGCCCTGTGTGTGTCCACTTGCTATTCTCAGCTCTGCTTTACAGCACTTGGCCATGCAAGGTTATGCTCCCAAACAGGGCATCAGAGGTGGCTCAGCCCAGCAAAGCTTCAGATAGAGCAGAACTCACTGCCACTGTTTTCCATATGTTCCTCTCCATGGGGGTCTGACTGGACCTCGACCTGAGGAGGAAGGAGAATGGAAATTTAATGGAGAAGTGAATCCTGCCCCCAGGTATATGAAGCAGCCAAACTCTTTTGTTCTCATTCTCTCTGGTTTTAGCATGTTTCTGTCCAGCAGTGGTGGTGGGAGTGTGTGTACTTGAGGCAGCACATTCATCCCTTGCTCTGCCTATGTCCAGAAAAACATCTCCTAGTGCTCAACCTTAATTTGCAGCCCTTCATAAGAACCTTCCCCTCTCTGTATATTTTTTCTTTTCTTTTTTCCTTCTTTTTTTCCCCTTTCTTTTCAAGTCAGCTCACATTGATTAATCATTTTAGAAATGTTTAGGGCTGGAATTGTGAAACCTTTGTTGGCAATAATTTTTCCCCTGGAGTCGAGGAGACTACTCATTAGCATGACTACTTGCCAGCGTGAGGGAGGGATTCACAATCTGGACGTTTGTAGTTTTAAAAATATGTCTCTATTTAGCTGATTTGAGCAGCTGAGCAGGCATGGTTACGGAAATCAGACTAACAGGCTGTCACACTCGGCTGTTTTACTTCAGAATGCATCTATGGTGAAATCATGTAATAACCAGTATTTTGGTTGTCTGGTGTCTTCAGTCTTACTTACAAGCATTATGTGATACCTTTCCAGTGTAAACCAAACCCTTTGTTGTTAAATCCCCTCTCTATACCCCTCTTAGCTTCCACACAATGTAAAACTATACAGGGGTCAGTATTGACAGGAAAGCCATTATAGGCCAATTACACAAATCCCTCAGAAGCAGCTAGTGCCTGCAGGACACCTGGTTTTGAGCCCAGTGGGTGGAAGGGGTGAAGGTGAGGAGCTGGGTAAGCTTATGTCTGCAGGGCATGAAGTTGGCATGGCTGTACCTCTTCTTCCTGCTTTCAAGAAAGAAAACTCCAAGGAAAGAAGTCTGTCTCTCTGACAGAAAACCCTGTGTTTTATATTTCACTGCTTCCCTACTGTGAGTCAGTCACTCCCCCTTTTTTCTGAGGATAAGTGAAACAACCATGGCTCTGCTCTGCATGGCTAACAGCAGCAGTGACCACCAGACTTAAAACCGGTGTGGGATCGTCCCAGTAAAAATCCAAAACAATGCTATCTTTCCTATTTCCCCCACACTCCTTCACCCTACTGTTCCGTTTGCTCCTCTGCATGCAGCATGGCCAGCCAGCCTGGGTGCTGGGCTGCTGAAGCACAGGCGTTCTCTCTTCTGTCTGCATCTCCCTCCACCTTGCACAAAGCTGACAGGGGGATTTTTCACCTCCTCACTTTTCTTTTTCCTCTTTGATTAACTTTGGACCAGATGGCCAGTCCCCAATCTCTCAGCATGCATTTGACTGACAGGAGCCTTTGATAAACCTCCTAAGAATGAAGTCATCTTCAGGTCACCTCCTCTGCCTGGCCTTTAACATCCCGCACATACCACCATTATCTGCTGAATAGGAGACAAAGGAAATTAGCTCCAATTCCCTATCATCCCCATTATTTCCACACTGATTTAAACAATGAGGCAATGAGATGCCCTTCACTTTCCTTGGAAAGGTACAAATGTCAGCTGTTAAGAAATGCAAACAAGAGGGTTCCCATGTTAATGGATGGGATTCTTTGTAAAGCCATGAAGTGGTAAAATGGATTTATTCACCGCCTGCCTGGAAAATGCTTAACACACTTCTAAACAAATTCTCTAACCACTTTTTACTTTATACACAGTACAGAGTGCTTGAGAAGCCTCATTGTTTTGGTCTGGCGATATATATATGTATAATGAGGTGATATGCCACTCTGTTGCTTTTTTCCATATGCAGTTATCAGAGCTTCATTTGAGACAGTCCTGAACCGAAATCATGGAATCCAAATTCCTTGATATACAAAATGGTTTAGCTGTGTATGAACCTGAGTACTGAGATACAGGGAGCTACCTACAATTTCAATTGAGAAAAGTAATTTGGTCATTCTGGACAGGGGCCACAGGAGCTGGAATCAGAACAGAATCTCACCAGAGATTAGTAAGTAGTTGCCACACACCTACTTGGCTATTAACCTTTTATCTGAGAAATAACAATGCACTGTAAGAAGTGTTGGCCCAGCAGTATTTTGAGCCAGGCATGCTGGAAAATATCTTGAAATATATTTAATTTTATGAGATTTCTTTCCCAAGGTTGTGGTCTTCCACTTGAATTGATTTGACTGGCAGTTAATTCTGTTTTCTTGGCAACTGAAAGAATCCGAATGTTTGGGCTTCTTGCATCAAGCCATTCTCCAGATCACTGGCACACCCACATGCATTGCAGAAGATTAAAACAGCAGTGATCTCCAAATTAACTCTGGGAAAAATGGGTCCACAAGCTGTGCTTTACATTAAAATATGACTTTGCTTTTCTTCTTTGTTTACTAGTCTCTCTCCCCAGTAAAGCAGTCAGGTTCTTGCCTTCAAATTAGGGCTCACTACAGAGTCATCTCCAGATGTACAGTTGGAAAGCACCACTCAATTTATCTATTTATTCCAAAGTGCAAGGATCACACGGAGAGCTAGAAACTGTGAGCTGTATTCCCATTGCCTGCTATGGAACATGGGAGCAATGACAGCGTGTCAGGTCAAGAGACTGGTGAGCAATTCTGACCACCTGTTATGCCAAGTTGCTAGAACTTGGCTTCCTTTGCAGTCAGTGGAAAAAAAGTCATCTTGGTACACAAGTTAGGCAAGGTAGAGAAGTCAGTCCTGCCAGCCTGATGCATTGTGACTGCTGCTCACAAAAGGTAGGAGCCTGAATCACTCCTTGCTTATTGACCTTAGATGCCATTGAAGGAAGGGTTTCTAAGTTAGGTTCTTCCATTGGGCAGCCTGAACTTGGCACTGAAAGTGATGGTCTCTGAAGGCCTTTCTGTTGATTTAGAGTCCTAGGTAGTGTTTGTCACATACCTTTAGCCAATAACGAAGGCTGGTCTTTTTCTTTACACTCTTATCACAGGTACCCACACCTCAACAGTGCCTGAGAGAATTCTGATTATGACCTAGGCTGATTTATGCTTCTGAACACACCTGGCTAGCCTCAATCGTGAATTCTGTGTCTACAGAGAGGTGGCATGATGGGAGTGTAAGAGGACATCTCAGTTTTAAATAAAAAGCCTCTCCATATAAATTCAGACACACTCCTGCTGCTGCAGAAGGACATTAATATGGAAGTCAGGTAGCACCTTTCTTTTTTCGCTTTGGGAGAGTCTTTTTTATGGCTTCCCTTACTAATATAAGAGCCATACTGTGGCATTGCCATAAAGGATTCCCATTCAAAGCTGGGCAAATAAACTCAATGGAAGTCCACTAGTTGAGAGAAGGCTTGAGAAAAGTAAGTTAAGCCTAATTAATGATAGCATTCATTCTTCAACTATTCCTGCAAAAATCAAAAGAAATGTTTTGCTTCTTTCGTCTTTCCAGCTGAAAAGCTTCCAGTGTGGCCCACACCATTAAAGGACTCCAGCTGCTTTGTTATTATACCTTGCTCCTTTTCCCTCTATATTCCATCTTAAAGTGGTGAATCTTCAATCACCACAATTTTGTTGGTGCTGACTATAAAGGATGGTCTTCTCACAGTAATTCATGTAATTCATGTTACTTCTTGAAGTATTTGACTAGCTAACATGAAAGGCCAGATGCTTTCTTCGATTTCTTCCATTTATCAAGACTCCCCTTTTTCATGCTGGTGCTGCTATCCTGATAATGACTGACAGTCACCAAACTGCCTTTTTTTCTGACCCCTTGACATTAAGCTAGTCAACTGACTGAAGACAGGCCCTAGGCTTAGCTAGCTAGAACATGGCCTAGTCTTGGGATTTACAGGAACAGATGGTTTCTGTCCCTGTGATCACCAGCCTTGGTAGTATTTTTAAGACATCTGAAGAAACCTTTGCACTGGTAAGGGTGGGAAGCTCAACACATTTCCATGCATCCCGCTACATGCTTTCTGATTGAAATCTGGAGGAGGAATTGAGCTTCTGGCAGTGGTTATGAATTTGGCAGCCACAGATTATTTTAAAGACCCTGCTGCGTTAGGGTGCAGACCAAGGTGCAAAAACGCTCCTCTGAAGAGCTTATTTTCCTTAGATAGGGAAGACTGAGTTGTATGGAGCTAACCTGTGGCAGAGATTGAAAAATGCTGCAGTACTAAGTATTTTTTTTAAGCACAGTTCTTTCTCACAATTTGTTTTTCACATACAGCCTGTCACCACGTGAGGTGTTTGCCTGTCCATCTCTGCAGATAAATGCACACACCAAAAAGACAGGCAGACATACTAGCACCAATGCAGTTTTACTTAAGTTACTTTACAGTAGATACTCAAGCTAGTCTGAAGAAGCAAGAACACCACAAAAACTCTTATCTCAAAGTTTTGATTTTGTTTATTAATTTATTTTTTTTTTTTTTTTTAGTAAGCAGACGTATCAGCTATCTGCAATTCAAAGCAAAAGGTTGGGGGGGGCTGATGCTTCCCATTTTGCTTTTAAGAAGGTCATGGTGAAAGCTTGTGATTGAATATTTTGCATGGAACTGCCTATGACAAAGACAAAGACAAGAGGTTTGTCAGAGTGCTATGAAAAGAGAGAGAGAAAGATCTGTGTTAGATTTTTAAGGTATATTTGAAAGAGTGAAATAAAAAAAAAAATGCTTTCAAATCCTCAGGGACTTTCCAATTTATCAAGAAAGACACATTCTTCCTAATGAAAGGTTACTGACCTTCATGAATGTGACAGTTCAATTACAGCCCATTCATATGCAGAGCAGCCGTTGATAAAGGATTTAGGAAATGTGACTAGCATAGCAAAAAAAAAGGGGGGGGGGAATGTCTAGAAAATTATTTTTTATTGTGGAGCAAGAAATATAAATAAGATTCAGTCAGGTAGTAGAACCTTTTCTTCTGTGGCCCAGCAACCATTAGATTTGCTTCAGTGAATACATTGACTTTTTCCTCTTCTTTTTCTACTAATATTTCTGTCTTTTTAATCCTCTGAACTACTAAACCTAACAAATCATAAAGCCCTTGGGGTGCTGAGATGCAGGGTTTCAAACATTTTTTTCCTTCTGACTGGCAGAGAAAGCTGGAATGTGTCCTAATGTTATTTTAAGTGCTTGACTAGTATTTAAACTCTTAAATGGATGGAAAGTTAAAGCAGCAGCAAATGCACATGCACATACATGTACCCCCCCACCCCCCTTTCCTTTTCCTTCCACCTCTCCTCCCCCTGCTTCCCCCCACACACTGAGCTTGGCCTCTCCAAGGCTGTTAATAGCCAAAGCAGATATTGGCTAGACTCTCTGGAGCCAGCCTTCAGCCAATGGAGGGTGACACCTGTGAGCTGATGTTTGCTGAACTCCTCCAGGTGTAGGAAAGATGCTTGAATTGACATAAGGCAGGAGCTGTAAAAACAGGCAAGTATGTCACTCATACACGCAGCTCCCTGGAAGATCCCAAGGCCAAGTTGTTGTGAAACAACTAGAAAGAAAGAAAGAAAAAATGTTTCACTTGCTTTGAAATGATTCCAGATTATCTGTTTATCTATCCGCATGCACACACACTCACGGATCTAGGCCTATGCATGCTGTGTGTACATGAAGCCTGCATAGAAAATAACATGAGGCATATGTCCCTACATAACACATGTACAAATCTTATAATTTAAGGTGGTAGCAGGCTGAGCAGTTGTGAAGTTGGATGAGGACAATCCTTTGCTTAGTGCAAGCTCTCACAGGTGGTCCCACATGGAGTAGCTGTGGTGGGAGCTTAGCGCTCACCTACATTTATGTTAGGTTGTGATTATCTGGAAGGGATTGCCTTCCGCAGAGCAGCAAACAGACTCTTGACTTAAAGCAAGTGCTCACATCCAAGTGCAATCACATGGGTGTGAAGAAATGCTAAAACTGTCTGTGGAAGTCAGAGCCAAAAGACATTTCCTTGACCTCCGCTCAGTATCTGTGAAATGGCATGCATGTTTCTGAGAAATGAGCTCGGTTAATTGGCGCTACCTCCGCCTGGATACAGGGATGAAACTTTCTGCGCTGTTCAGGCTGGGAAGAACTGCAGGGGCTGAGACTGTGAGATCTCTGTTCTTCCCAGAGGAGCAACTGCAGAGAGAATAGGCCAGCGCAGTGTATTTTCCACTTGTGTTATGACCGATTATGGTTTCTGGGGAACCAGAACCACTCTCAGTGCTTCAAGCTGCTGTACTAGGTGTCTGTCTTCCTTGCCTAATTACCTTCTCTGAGTAAATTTCAAGTCTTATCCCTAGTGGGTATTATAAGCACCTTGCTTACTGGGTGCTGAAATTTGTGTATGTTCTCAGGGAAGTCCTGAGGGGCCTGTTTGTTTGTCATGAGGTCTTTCATCAGTAATCGCCCATTGGTACTGACAGCTTTTCAGACTCTCAGCCTCTGTTGGCTCATTGGGGTTTAGGTGATCATTGTAGAGGAAAGAACACTTCCTTGTCCTTAGTCTAATTTTAGATCAAGGGCTGGCATGGAATTGGCTTTGGCAGCATTGAGTGATAATGTCTCATAGTGATGTATACAAATAATCAATCTGACTTTATTGGTTCTTTCAGATGACTTTGAAATGCATAATTATAAGGCACTGAGTTCTGGAAATCATGGTGGAAATTACCAGGATCCCTTTGGAATGGTCACATTCTAGCTTTTCTTTTAAGCAAAAGTTCATCTGATCGAAGAGCTTTTTAGGGCAGAATGCTTTGTTCTCCCTTTTGTTCAGTGCATACCTGAGATTTTCAGGAGGGTGTTAAAAGGCCTCAAGAGAAATTAATCCAATGCATTCCCACAAGATCTGATTCCAAGAAATCCGTTGGTGCAGTGTAGGAGGTAACCCAGCATCTGTTTTGGACACCCTAAAATTTTTTTCCATGCTTCTTGGTAGTATACTGCCCAGACTGCACTAGAAGCTCTGGGCAGGCTCTGATAAATGTATGACCATCTCCCTGTCATAGCTTTTAGCCGTCCCGTGGCATGACAAGATTAGAATCAAGGCCCTTTGAGGACTGGAGAGGAGCTTCCTAATAGTATGCGCACCACTTGCTTTTAATGTTGGAAAGAAAAACAAGATAAAAGAATTGAAAATGTTGACATTTTTAAATCCAGAAAACCTCTTTGGAGTCTGTCTGTGCAGTTAGGTTCATTGTAGGTAGGGTCCCAATCCAGCAGAACAGTCAAACTGTGAAGCTGGAACTTTTTTTTATCTGAACTGAGGACTAAAACAATTATATTTAAAATGGAGAGAGTACAAGAATTAATCTAAGTATGTTCTATACAAATCTCTATGTCATTCCTCAAATATGTTTTCTGCAACCTGCTGTAGTCTATTTGGACTATGATACTATAAAAAATGTTTACTGGAACTCATCTGGGATGACCTTTCTGCAATGTTTTGTCTTTGCCTTTTGTAGATAATCCACACCATTTAGGCGTTTTGTTTTTTTGGTTTGTTTTTTTTTTTTCTTCCCCTTGTAAGATCGACAAAACAAGACTATAAAACATTTGGCACAGAAAATCTTTATTGTCTTTTGAAATGAGGCTTACTTTTCACCACTAGTAAAATGTATTTAATTTACTTGCAATGGCCAGTGGACAATTTGATCAACTCTAATTTTCAGATAGCTTCATTTTCATGACAGATTTTAATATTCAAATTCAATTAAAAGCCATCTTTACTGAGTGCAACATAATAAAAATAATTATTGGTACCAGCATCAAGAGAACATTTCTGATCACATTTGCTTTGGTTAAAAATACAGTCTTTGTTTCCTGCTTACATTTAGTTGGCAGGGTTCCTTTAAAGTTTATGCTTGGCCCTGAGTCTTGAGAGTGCAGTCAGGCATGTGCCTGAGAGCAGTCCTAATAGGCAGGCTGCATAACCTCACCAGCTAAAGCTCGTGGGCTACAAGGGGGTTGTTCACCAGGGGAAAAACACAGCCCGCTGCCGCTCAAGCTAGCGTGAACTTTACATACTGCATGCCTTGCTCATTGATTAAAAATGTAGTCATCCTTAAAGGCAAATCACCTAAGGACTTACAATAAGTCACAAATATGAAGATGGTTTTGTGTAATGTACTTTCATGTAACACTCTTGCAGGATGAGGATTTTGTTTGTAGTCAGCATGAGTTGGTTGGTGACTTCTGTTAGCTTGCTGGTTGAGGCAGGTTCTTCAGAATCAGTTCACGTGGAAACCAAACTGCACCTGAGCAAACATTGGAAGGTGGGGAAGGAATTGCTTTCAATCCATACCCACAAAAGTTAGAGTGACTTATGCATGTTTCAGTAGGGAAAACTTTCTCTCATGGCTGATTGTTTGATAAGATATGCCAGGAATTAATTTTAGTGGGCCCAGTAAGCATGAATTATTGTATGGCTGGACCTCTTCTAGCTGGATTTAGAGGTATATCTGGAGGAAAAATATTAATCAGACTCAGCTGATCTGATGCTCTCAGTCAAATGGTATGAAATAGCATACAGTGAACTATTTGCATGTATTCTATAGATAGCAAAAAGAGTAAGCAAAGAGATGTACATGACAGCCCATGTGCTTAGTAGGCTTAATGGTTTGTAATCACAGTTTCAGCTCAGCCTGGAGAACACCAGCAACAGAAGAGCAGGTCAATGTGAGAAAGCACATTGTGGCCAGCCCAGCAAAATGGCCTTTGAAAGTGTACTCATCCCATTGATAATCTCTGGATCAAACTGTTGACAGATTTCTTTGTGTGAAGTAAGCAAAAACGAAGTTCCTTTTCCAAGCAGATGTGATGCTCTACCAGTGCATGCTAGCGGTCCTTTTTCCACTTAGGCAGAAGATCTGAATATGGTCATACATTCTTTCAGGTGCTGCTCATTAAAACTGCGTGAAGAAGATAAAGGTACAGCAAGTCTTAGTATTATCCATCTGGCCTAGCATATACTCTACATGTCAGGGTAGAGACCACTCTGTCTAGAGACCACTCTTACAACATATTGATAGTAAGAACTGGATCCAGACAGGCAATGCTGGCTTATATCCAGAAAGTGTTTCAACTATGTGTGTATATATCAAACTTGAAGCATTTCAACAGACCCCAACTTTGTTGTATCAAAGTGTCTAGAAAACACGTTTCTTCAAAAGAGCCTTTTCTACTTTGGAAGAAACAAGAAAAATAGTAACAGGCAAGATATATTACAAAATCTGGGCCTCAGTCCAGGAAAAGCACAAGTTTCCAAGATCCTCACATTTTTACATTATGGCCTATATTGAGGTCAAACCTTTTTAAGGTGCAGATTTTTCTTCTGGGTACTTGAAGAGGAAACAATGTGGGTTTGTTTCCATTTCATTTCTTTATGGTGCGTAAAGGAATCCTGTGATATTTGTTTTTTAAAAGGTTGCGGCTTCTTTTTTATTGCTAGGTTCTATTCTTGTCTTCTGGTTTGCAGTGAGTCTTGCTGGAGCTCTTAGATCTGAGGATTGTGGATCCCTCCTTGAAGAGAAAAGATACTGAAACTTTAACAGACTTTCTCCAACAAGCTTTTTAGCAATCAAAGAAACCCTATGAAAGCTTGAAACTTCTGAGCCTTTGTTCATTTAAAATAGGTTTTGCTTTCATTGTATCTCATAACCCTACCAGTTTTCCAGGCCTCCAGGGTCTCACTATAGCAATGAGATAAATAAAGAATGAATTGCTATTGTCTGAAAAGAAGGCACTGGGAAAAATATTCCAAAAATAATATTAATACAGGGAAAAAACCTGAAAGAATATCCTATCATTTTTGTATACAATAGGGATGGACCTTAAAGGTATTATAGGATAAAGAAAAATCCCCTCAGTGGTTTCATCTGTGATGACTGTAAGAGAGGTTGTAGCCGGGGGATCACTCTGCTCTAGGTACCATCCCCTTAGAGAGCAAGCCAGCATTGGCAGAGGTCAGTATCCAAGGCTGCTTTCCAATCTGTCTCCTGGGTTCCCCTGAGGGCAGTGTGGGGGTGACTCCTGATCAGGACTGTGTTCAGCCTGCCAAGGCAGTTGGTCCTGCCCTACTGGTTTGTACCAGGTAAGGTTATAGCAGGTACATTGTATATTACTGTCTGCCCTTGTCCTTGCTGGGTTAACACTGATGAAAATCCTTTCCACTCATCCTCTGCCTGCCACAGTTAATCCTATGCGCCCATTCTTTCTAATGCTGCATGTTAATACATGCAAATGTCATTGCTAAGATGGCTTGTTTGGGTTTATTTTACTTTTTGTTTGCCTTTGAATGTAAAGGAACGTAAGGCATTTTTATACTGGGGCATGTACTGCCTATTCAGTAGTGCCATTAAGAAAAGAGAGGTAGATATAATAGAGATGCATCTCTTTCTAGCCAGTCAGTTACATAGTATAACACTAGTTCTACTTTCATGTGTTTCCTGAATCACTGGCAAAGTCAGCATCAGTCTTACAAAAGAAGGTAACGGTTTCAAGCAGCTGCTCTATTATACATTAACAATGTGCATGTCCCTTGCACAAGGCTTTGTCTGCACACAGACAGTGTTCAAACACTTGCATGTATTGACACTCTAACAGATGGGCAACACAGTAGACCTACCATGTATGTGCTGTGCAGGTGCCCATATGTCCATCCTAATGTCATCCAGCCTGCTGACCATGTGGGTTGGCTGTTGGCTTAGTGCAGTTGCATTGGCCTGACTAGGCACGGAAAGTGCTGAGATGTGTTCCTTGGTGTGTTCAGCATAGCTGGATCTGCAGCCTAGTGAGAAGCATGTTACTGCTTTTGCTCAGGTCTGTCTGTGGGGCAGGTAGGAAGCCCAGGCAAATGTCTCAGTGCTTCTTTCCAGTCAGATTTCTGGACACATAAAAGAGGACATATCAGGTGAAACTGGTCCTTGGAGAAGCCTTAGTAATCTGTCGGTTCTTGGCCTCCAGTCTGCTGGTTTAAGTCATTACTTAAGGAGTCTTCTATGCAGTTCTGGAGTGCCACAGGACTGGTCTGCCTTTGCTCCATGCATCTACTCTTCTGGAAAGAAGGTCAAGAGAATGGGCAAATCTAATAGAAAATAGGTTGTCTGATAATCCTCAGTGACTGCAGTAGCCCTGCAACCTTGCTAGAGACACTATAATTTATAACGAAAGCTGAAGTGGTGCAAAAGAATCAGTCCTTAGGTTTCAGACTTGGACACATTTCCACACAGACCTTTTTATTTCTATGTTGTTTTCTGGCATGTTCTTAGATTAAATGGCAGCCACTAGTCTCCGTGTGTCATAATGAGAAACATGGGAAGTCCATGCCTTTTACTTCTGCCTCCATATAAGTGCTTGTTTCATATACAATGACTATATGTATATATTTTTTTTATGCTAAAGAAAAAATGTGTGGGTAGGAAAACATCCAATCTGTCAAACTCTTCATGACTAATAAATATTAACTGCTTCAAGTCTTCTAATTATCTCAAGTTTAAAAAATCTGTGGCCAACTACTTAAATATTTAACCATCTGCCAAAAAGCATTCTTGGAGGTTTATTCTACAACATACAGGCAATGTTGTTGAAAATGGAAACTTTTAAGACAGTGTCTAGATGAATATGACATTGATTTTTTTCTTAACTTGATAAAGGTAGCATGTTAAATTTTGTCAGGGTCTCCACATAATGACATCCCCAGTCTCATCTAAAGATTCCTTCATTTGAACATGGCTGAAGATCAAATTGGCACAGAAAGATTGAAAAACTCCCTGTGTTAGAATACTGAATAGTCAGTTAACCCATGTTGAGCACAATGTAGCTGGTCACAGGATATGTCCATTGCATCTTCTGTGTGATGCAATAACTAAACACAGTAGGATGCATGCAGAACCAGAATAATGATCCTCATTTTCAATTCCATCTTAGCAAAGCAGCTGTATACCAGCTGGGCTCCCAACTCCTGGTCTTCTCACTTTCACTTTCTTTTGCATTCTTTGCTTCTCTTCATCTGGCAGTGTTTGTAAGACTGATGCCTTGGGGGGAAAAAAGGGGAGAGAGAGACTTTGAAATCCCAGGCAGCAAGCAGGAACAATCCAGACAGCAGGTGATATTTAAAAGTTTCAGGTCAAGATGAGTCATAAAGCCCTGAGGCCTTATATCCCCTCAGATCCGCAGAAGTCTTCTGAATTCCAGAAGCTGACTGACCTCTTTAAAGGTAATAAGGAATAATCAATACTGTATTTGATCCCTTGCATAAAGGTATTACAACAAATGGCACTAGACCTTTTGAAAGTAAGAATAACATTTTGATCTTACGTTGTAAAATTGCCATGCTCAAGACTACCTCCTGGCTCATATGCTTAATTATGTAATGACATCCAGCTGGAGTACAAAGGACTTTTGCAGAAAGCCAGGCTCCTCTAAGAATAAAGTGTCTGATAGGAAATGTTTAGACTATGAGATCCTCTGACACAAAATGGTGGTTCTGAGAAGGATCCTATGTCGTATCATTTTTATCATGTTCTGCTTAGGACAGAGTGACCAAAACAAGATTTTCTCATCACAAAGACTGATTTTTTTGGGAGACAGAGCAGATTTCAGGTCCAGTTTCACCAACATGAAGAAAATGCCATTCAGTGACCTATGTAAGCTCAGACTTACTTCCCTCTTTTCCCATTCTACCTCCTTTCCTACCAATTATACTTTCCCTCCATTGTTATATTAAAACCTTCTTGTGAGGCAAAGGGTGAGTAACATCAGTGTGAGCTGTCCCCTCAGTAGTCAAGGAAAGTAAAAATGTCTTTTGGTTATGGAAAAAACTGTGTTGTGTTACAGACAAGCATGCATAGACTTATGAAACTGCATTTGCTATCCAACCAAGGCAAGGAGCCCTGCTGAATTCAGGAAGAAGTCCCGGAGAGGTGCTGCCTTCTTCCAAGATGTAGGGGTAGTATTTAATTTCCTTTTCATCTTTCTTTTAGTTTTTTGGTTTGTTTTGTGAAGTACTTATTTTATATTATAAGTTAGGATTCTGGGATGCCTGCCATACTGGCTGATGTTTCAATCTGAATTACACGTGGGACTTGTATGACTGTCTTGTCTTCTGGGTTGGGATATGTACATCTTTATTGGGTTTTATAACAGTTGTCTCTTGTACATAATGAAGTGATAAGAGAAACAGTATGTACAGCCTTGAGTCTGAAGCTTGACACTATATTTCCACTAACAGAGCACCAGTGGCAAATCCCTAGTACTGATACTGACATGAAGCTCACACCATCCCTCCCAGTAGCAAAATCCATTAGTGGAGCTGTGACTCTGGTTGTGTGTTGTATTAAGGGCTGAAACCTCTTTATTCAGTGAAGAGGTGGAGCAGCTTCATTTCCCATCATATTTGGCTGAGGACAAGGATTGAATGATGCTTCACAAGCAGCAATTTCACAGGTTCTCTAGATGAAGAGTCTTGCTTTTGTTATCTTTAATTGTGACTAACAATTCTGTGCTCTGTTTATGAGGTACAGCAATTACTTGTCGGTGATTTTTTTTATTTTCTATTCATTGTGCTTGGCACTGACAAGGTGAAAATGAGAATGTATTGTTATGATGCTTGTAGACATTCGTAATTCAAATCAAGAGAAGAATCTGTTGAAGATGATCAGAGACCTACCATTTTTTCAAGTTCTAGGGATGGAAGGGTTGACACCAACTCTGATGGAGTCCTATTAAATCAGGTTTCAAGCATGCTCTGCTCTCCCATTCCTACCCCTCCCCTGACTGAAGTTTGCATCCATACTGCTATTACATATGTGTGGAGGGAGGTATTGCATGATAAGAATGGGAAGTCTACAACATCTTCACAGAGTTGCCATTCTGGCACTGTTAGCTTGAACCTGTTCATGCTTTACAGCTCCTGTTCAAAGACAAAGACTTCATAGCTATTGCCACTCTTCACTGACTGTGCTGTAATATAAGCTTTATTTTAGCCTTTCTTTCTATTCACTTGATTCCAAAGTTATTTTTTCCCTCTATACAAACTAGTCAGATTATTTTCTGTGAGTATTCCAGTTCAGGGGCATATTCCAAAAGGCTATGTTCCTGAAGGATATGTATGCAAGAAGAAAACATCACAATCATAGAAACAGAGTTATGACAGAAGAAGAAAATGTGAAAGATGTCTGGTATATAAGCAGCAATACTTCATAATCAAGTATTATTTTCTTCTGTTTCTGAATATGCTGTTTTCTCTTATTTCAGTAAATTCACCTATTCACTGCTGGGCTTTTTGTGTTTATATGTATATAGATGTATATACGTATGTATTGTGTGTGTGTCTCTATACATATACATATGGGGGGGTGTATATAAAGAGATATATGCTACAGTTTGCTTTAAGGTAAATTTATAGTAGTTGCTGATAGATGAGGCACTAAAAATAGGGAAATTATTATATAAAGGAACAGAATTTCTAATGGTTCTGTAAGGCAATAATAAAGAAGCTTGTATTGTCTTTCTATTTCATAGAAAAGTCCATGACTGTGCATCTAATAAACTCATGAAAGCTGGGACACCAAAGTGGTGGAATGCATTGACAATGAATGCAGCTTTCTTTCAACTGGTGATGGATTTTCTGTAGATGGTATCAGCAGGCGCAGCAGAAATGAGATGCAGCATATTCCTTCCCTGGAAGAAACTGCATCTTCTGACTTCTGCGCCTGAAATTTTTGACTCTTTTTTGTGTGCTTGCTCGTCTGGTGATGCTATCATCATCATCAGAGCTTTTGTTTAGGGTTTTTTCTCCCCTTCTCTCCATTTTCACTCCACCCCCCACTCCAAGCCCCAGTATTTCCTTTCATGCTTTGGCTGAATGTAAATCAAATTTTCTGATTGCCAAGAGCAAACCTATACATAAGCATAACCAAAGCAAAACTTCATCTAAATGTTAAACAAAAACTCTGGTCTAACCCAGAGTTATGCTCAGTCATGCCCTCTGGGGTTGTCCAGTTAGCAGCAGTGTGCTAGTTTTCCTTCGTGTGGCAACCACAGTGAGAGCACTCTGGTACACAAACATCCAGGAAGGTTTGAATTTATTGAAATGCTGGTAGCAGTCAAGTTATGGCAGCGCTGTACTTAGCACATGTCAGTTAGCCATACCTTTTTATGTAGTTTTGCTGAGCTCTTTGTTGACATGACTACTGCTGGTTCACAGATAGCTTTTAAGTCTAGTTTGGGTATGTATTAAACAGCAGCCACCATATGACTGCGCTTTAGACATAACTTCAAATACTGTCAGCGGGCTTGCACTGAAAGGGTCTTGCTGCTCTCCCATCTCCCAGGGGAGATCAGTGAAAAGGAAGCAAGGTCACAGAGAGGGAACATCTTGCCTTATGACCAGGGAGGATGTATACTTCAGTCCTTTACAAGCAAGCTTCCTCATAAAACCTGTTTAAACCCTCTGTAAGTCCAGATTCAAAGACTTAGTTATGATTAAGGCCCTCATCTACTGTCTATTAGCCATTTACTAAGTGGGCACCTGGAAGCATCTGAAAAGCCAGAATCTGAACGTAAATAGTACTTTTCCATGGATAATACCTTTGATTTGAGTATTTGCATCCTAATTCACTATTCGATCATTTGCAGGCTCTGACCCAGACGGGCTTGGAGGACTCTTGTCAAGAGATAGCCTTTCCCTTCTCTGTGATTAACTGTCAAAAAATATATCAGGCTTTTCTCCCACGTTGGCTAGTCATCTCTCTAAAATACTATTTAGACTAAAAGTTAGCAAACAATGTACTAAAGACAAGATTTCTAGTAAAATAAAAAAGTATTTTATCAGAAAAAGGTTGAAAGAGTTAAAAAAGTAAACCAGAGTCCGTTCCAGACCTTTGCATTTTGAAAACATTGATGAAATACTTTTTCAGTGTTTTACCAGCACTACTTTCAAGCTTCCTTCCCACGCTGCTGTGCAAGTTACTTGCAGAGTACACAGAGATACAAATCTTCACCAAGCCTGACTCCTAGTATCTCTGACAAATGCTCATGCTGTGAAAGAAGAGGCATTCTGCTGCCCTGGATTAAGCAGGCTGTCAGACATGCCCAGAGAAGTTACGATGAAAAGAAGCTTCTTCAAAAACTTTGTTTAAAGTGAGGGCTGTTAATCAAGGCCTTGGTGCTCTCATTAGAGAGGGGAGGAACCATTTAAAGTCAGGAAGCTGCAGTATATGAAAGTCATGAAATTGAAATGAATGCATCTTTTGCCAGCTGGTTTCACACCCCCAGTTGGCAATCCACAAAGGTTTAGAGGGGGAATTAAATCCATTTTTCAGCAGAAATAACTATTTTTGTGATTATCATATAGATTCCATGAGCTACACTTTGGTCCTATCAAGACAGGCAGGCAGCTGCATGAGAGGTGGAAAGAGAGAAAATGAGATAAAATCACCACCAACAGATAGATACTGCAGGCAGGAAGGCAGCGTTGGATCCCAGCCACAATACTTCTGCAACCTGGTTTGAATAGGCCTGATGGGATGCCATAATGTAACCTTCACTAAACAAAGTATGTGGAAAGCCATCTGACATGGGGCTCTATTTCAAAGAAAAAATACAGATTCCTTCCAGGCTTTTATTGCTTTTATTTTACTTGTTTTGCTCTTGGGGCTAAGATTGCCTTCAATAAAATGAGATTAAAAAGTAGACTGAAATAACACCCTAAACCAGAGTCAAGCAGGAAGAGCTTGGAGAAGAAAGGGTTTTTCTCAGTGTCACTCTTTAAATTAGCTGAAAGGCCTGAAATAAGTGGGTCACTGAAGTATCTTCTCACTGTATGGGGTACAGTTATGTTCTTGTTTTGGTTTGGGGGTTTTGGGTTTGGTTTTTTTTCTTGGTTGTTTGTTAATTTGTTTGGGCTTTCTTTTTTTTTTTTATCACTGGCCTTCTAATTCCATTAAGCATTATTAATGTGGAAGTGATCTCAGGAGAGAGATTGCTGCCTTACTTCAGATCTGACATCAGCTCCCACCTTTGTCAGCTCTGGGCACTGTCTTGCCCTCCAAGCACAAATGCTGCAACTGAGTTTCCAGCTGCAAAGCAAATCTGTTTTGTGTATCAAAGGTCAGGATCAAGTCCTCAGCTGTGAACTGCTGGAGTATAAACGCTTTCTGGCAATTGGACTTTTGTTGTCTGGCATATCTTCCTAGCCAACAATTGTGGTGCCTGCTGTGTCTCCTAGCAGTTTCCCCATCCCCTTTTGGATTACTGGAAATTCATCTCTGTGCAAAGAACACATGTATCTCTTGAAGTCCCAATTTATGTCCCGTTGTGATTATTTAAGAAGTGCCTGGGAGCCCTTGTAGGGACTCAGCCCTGGGATGAACTAAAGATTAGCTTCTATTTACTGCAAAGTACCAGAAAGTACTCATAGCCAAACATCCCTGGCAGGAAAGCAGAGGACAGCTAACTGTAGCGCTCCAGCTGCCTCACCACTGGTGTGACTTGAGTGCTCAAAATGGTTCTGGCAGCACACACAGGTAGAAGATCGGTGTATTTCCTTGTTAAAACAGCGAAAAGGCTAAGAAGGAGAGAATAAGCTAAGTGACCTTTTTGAGCTCTCTTAGAAACTGCACTAACTTTAACATCAAAAAGGAGGAGGACTAGGCATAAACTCTAGGCATTGGTTTAATGGTTACTAAATATTAGGGAGAAAAGTTGCTTTTCTATCTAGAAATGGCCTGTCAGTTCTTGAAGGCAGGACTCTCTTGTACCGCCCCCTTCCTCAAATGATCCCACCTGTGAATATTTGTTCTGCTGTGAAATAGAAATAAAAATGAGCAGGTCATGGTCTTAGAGACTGAGTTTAGAGAATATTTTTTTTCACTGTCAAGAAGACTCCACTGATTTATCAAGGAAAAGTGAAGGAAATTATCCACAGTCTCTTGTTGTTGGGTTGCTGGTTATTGAATGCTATACAAAAGCTGCAGATCAGTAAAGTAGTACACAACCTTTTCAGAACCCATGTGTCATTCTGACAACTTTCCAGGACCAAGGGGGGCAGACTTAATCTGCATACGTATTAACATAAATTTACATAGGAATTGAATCAGAGATGAATGTGCGCAGTTGTTATTATTGTGTATTTACAATAAACTTCACTCTAAGTGTTGACAGCACTTCACAAAACAGAGAGAAAGACAAAACATTCTTTGAGAGTCAAAGAGTAAATGAAGCACCATTTTCCTGAAAATGGTTCCTCATGTCTTCCCAAAAATTTGATATGGCCACAGGCAGCAAGGAATGCAGCTTCGAGGCTGTCAGATGGCTGCTGCATTCACGTGCATGGCAAAATACATCTGACCTTCCGCAGAGAGCAACATGCTGTGGTTGGAGGGAGTCTGATTTTTTTTCAAGGATGGAGATAAGGATTCTGGAATTTCTGCAACCTTCTCCAACATGGTACCTTAACAGCTCCTTTTTTACTGATCTAGATGAGTTCCACCTCTCTGAGGTCTGTAGAACAAGAGGAAAAGTTTCACTTATGTTTCTGTCTACTATCTGATTAACTGTTTGCCTACTGCAGCTGGCATTTATGGCTCAGGGCTGAGTTCTGAGCCCGTACTTGAAGAGGGATTGCAACGCTGCTCTGGATTCGAGGGCAAGACAAGGAAAATTTGCCATCTTTTGGTATGTGAAAGTCAGGGGTGCACAGCTGGGTTACAAGTACAACTCCTTCATGCTATTTCATTCTAAAAGACATGACCCACTCTGAGAAGACCTTTAAATACATGTGCTTTTGATGTGGAGCAGAAGGAAAAAAATATTCTAAGGTTGATTTACTATTTTTTTTTAATTAAATTAATCAGCAATGGGCATTGACATTTAGAAAAATGGCCTGTAGCATCCCTGGCCATAGAATATCCTGGGAAAAACTCCAAAATGCCAACGCAATTGCTGGATAAGCCAGCCTGAGGGACCTGGAGGGAACTGCCAGAAGAAATATCCCCTTTAACTTTCAGCCACAGTGATGCTGTGCATTCGTTAACAGAGAGGTGGAAGAACAACGTGATGTGCTCGAATAAATCATTCAATAGACTTGTTTAGATCTTGGGGTTAACTCTTATTTAGACTATTATACTCAAAGCCCTTTCACTTGGAAGTACAGAATAATAAGGGAAAGGGTTGCACATGTCCAGCACAGGTCTCTCTGAACTGTTTTTGAGGGTAATGTTGTTCCGGATAGGGAGAGAAATTAATTAAACCTAAAAATCATACATCTGTCAGTTTAGATAAATCTGATTTAGACCCAGAGTTGAATGTGGCAGCTCAGGAAGCATCTTGTTTACAGCTAAGTGTGTCCCAGCAGTGGTCTGCAGGTCAGATGTACTACAGTTGTAAATCACAGTAAGCCCCTGCAACCTTTATGGGAAATGTACCACTGTGGGAGCCCAGTGATGCATCTGACTTCCCTTAGGACCTTGGGAATGAGAGAAAAGTGGCAGTGAGCTCGGACTCACAGTCCCATACAGTTTGCCATGGCAGCTTAACTAGTCACCCTGCATCAGCTACTGCTCATGTGTGAGCTCTTAGCCTGTGGCAAGTACGAAGTAATGCAATTTATCCTAATCTTTTTTGACTCTGAGTTATCTTTGTGAGCCTAGGTCTGAAGAGGAGAGAGGAACAATGGCCTTTATAGATACTTCTCCAGTGGGCTCAAGCTCAACCTGTAACTGCACCTAAAGGAATAAGAGATTGATACAGTAGCTTATGTCTCCTTATCAAATTTTTCTGGGCTGTTTGGTTGAAAATCTTGCCTTTTATACTGTATGAGTCACTGTGCTATTGGCACTCAAAAACAGGAGAATGAAAAAATCCCGCAAATTTTGGGACAATTATTGGCCATCCTGAAACATGCTCATGCCTTATGTCTGAACAAGAAATCATAAATAACATTATCCCTGTGAATCAGAGTAATCCAACTCAGGGCTTTTGCTTACAAATCATCTCTTAAATTATTCAGTCAATTCCAATTTTGGGTGACTTGCTAAAGAGAATCTGGATCATAAATTGATATATCCTAAATTAGGCCAGTGACAGGGTGGAGTATATAAGGACTTTCACTGCAGAGCCCTAGGTCCTATCCCCCGCTGCAATAAATACTTGATTTTTTATGGAATATGGGATAAATCCAAGAGACTGGAAAAGCTTTGGCTTAAAATACACTATAGCCTAGTGGTTAGAGGCATTTCCTTGGAGAGACAGGCCCACTTCTCTGGTCTAACTCAGGCAGAAGAAGGAGCTGAATCTCATCTCCAGCCACCCAAGGGACAGATTCAGCTGCGAATACATGGGAAGGTAGTAATATTACCTCTAGGTGTTTTCTCTGAGGCACCTACCTAGGAGACAAGTTTTGGGAGCATGAAAGTTAGGCAGAGGAATGCTTAGTCTGTAAAAGTGCAGATACAAGCATCAGACTCCTTAGAGGTAGTGCAACACGTGTCTCCAGCGATTGAAATTTAAGGTAATTCCGTTGTGTAACATTAAGCATCTGTAAAATTAGTTGACCAAATGGAAGCAATCTTGAAGATCTAAACTTGAATTCAGGTGCCTAACATGATAGCCTGTTACTTTGTTGATATAAGAGTTTAGGATCACGTGCTTTTATGTTTACTATAATCTTTTCAGCTCTTTCCCCAGATTGCTATTTTGAGCTAGGTTCAGTACCCACAGAGGGCTCCATGACCCATCCTCTGACTGCTGAGTTTGCTATGAGACTAACTGCAACTCTGAGCCTGGTTTTCTCTCCCATCTGGCAGCAAAAATGAACTGCTGCTGACTGAATGACCACTGATTCTCTTGGAAGCAGAGCTATGCGAGCAGCAACAGCCAACTCTGTCACCATTTGTGAGGATTTGTAGCTTGGGCCCTGAGACATCTGGCTGAGATATTTACACAGTCCCGTATTGCACTCACTGAGGCTCTGCGTTCACATCTGGAGTCTAGACTGAGTGACTCTATGGGCTGGCCTTCAAGCGTCCGAACAGCTCATGTCCTCCTTGTTCTCTCACATTGTCTTTTTATTGCTTTATTGGTTTATTTATTTGCCGTAGGTGCTTCTGTCTCATCTCAGACATTCTTGTCATGGCCACTTCTGTCACAGAGCTTTAGTGAGGAACTTCAGTGACTGAAAGAGACCGGGTGAAAGCAGCTGGGATGGGCAGGGGAAAAAAGGCTGTGTTGTGGCAAGGCTTCGATCACACATTTACAGTAATGGGGAATGCCTGGTTCTTGATTATGCTGTTTCTTATGAGTTCTACAGCTGTGATTGTGGGTAATGACAGTGCTCAGCTGTTTGCATTCAACACACATGACAGCAAGAGGGGTGTCTGTAAGCTGTTAGAGGTGGCCACATCATTTTGACTTGCAGAGAGCTGAGCTGCCCACAACCCTGGGTTAGATCCATCGGTGAGCTGCATATACAACCTGGATCATCACAGAAGTGTTCTACCTCAAGTTGATTTGAGTTAGTCCCCATTCATTGTCCTGCTTTGAGTATGAGGAGCAGGG